CAGCGGGCGATGGGTGTGTGAGTAGCACCACAGTGACATCCGGAAGGGCCAGGAGCTGGTGGCACAGGCTCCTTCACCCGCCAAGTCCTCCTCACCTCTCAGGGCGCACACGGCTCAGCCATCATCTCTGGTCACTTAACTGACGGAGTGAGGGCTGGGCTGCTACCTCTGGCAGAGCTGGAAGCCTTTACCACGCTCTCCTGGAGCCTCCCCCACAGACAAAGACAGACCACTCCGCTGGAAGGGCCACACGGATGGGCCCTGAGTCCCCGTGGTGAGGAAGAGGGGCTCAGCTGAGCCCAGCCTCCCAGCCATCCCCACAATGTGCCAGGCATGTGAGTGAAGCTATCTCAGACTCCTCAGACCAGGCTGGCCACCAGGTAAGTGCCACTGAGTGGCCCCACTCAATGTCACATGGCACAGAAGCAGCAACCAGCCAAACCCTTCCTGGATTCCCGACCCACACGTTTGTATGATATGATGCAATGATTGTTCAAAGTCACTCAATTCAGGGGGGCAGTTTGTTACACAGCCATAGCTAACTGATACAATATAAAAGCCTGCAATTCAGGCATCAGCACCACCAACAGCCATGAAACCCTGCTGGAGTGAATGCCTTTGGGATATCTGCCTAGTCTCTTTCTTTTCTGTGATTCACCCCCACTTTCACCCCATCACCTCAAACTGCCATCTTGCATTTTTCTCGTACCCCAGCCTCAGCTGTTTGGATTAGGAGACATGGGACCAAAACTGGTCCAGTCTGATTCTCTCTCAGCCAACTCCCTGTCCCTAGCCACAGTTGACGGGAGCTAAGCCAATGAGAGTCTCTCTCTAAGACTTTAGAACGCGAATCAGAGGTGACTGGAGGACCATTTTCTCCCGTGTGTCGGGAAGCATGGAGAAAGCTGGTCTGCTATGGAGATGATGATGCAGGCGTTAGAGGAGCAGGGGGAAGGGCTGTGTAGGACAATGGGAAGGGGGGAGGAGGGAGAGTGCCTGCTTTGGTTTGTGGACATTTTCTGGGTCTGAATACACACATTTCCTTTGGTATCTATGAGGACCTTGCATCCTTAGAATTCTCTCTCTTGCTTAAGTGGCAATGAATACATTTCTGTGTGTGTGTGTGTGCATGCAACTTGAAAAAATGGCTGAGATAAATATGTTCAGCCCTAGAAACAGAAGAGAAAACTGCCCAGGCTAGTGAGGTGATAGAACGTCCTTCTGCTGACTTGCCCTCTGCTTGGTGAGGGTGACTGGGAGGAAGTCTCGTCCCCCTGGAGGCAGCCGCACTCACAAAGCCTGACACTGAACTCCTTCTCTTCCACAACGACTCCCAGCCCTGCCTTCCTCACCTGGTTAGGGAAGCCACTCACCATCTACTCTAAAGCCAGCAAGAGACACATACTAACTTCTTCCCGACCCCTCAAGTCCAACCGCCAACACGTCCTGCCTCTTCTAACTGGGTCCCCTCCTCCCCACCCATGGAGATGGACCTCGTCCCCATCCTGTCCCCAGATCTCCCTCTTGAAACAGATGAAGCCACACCACTGCTCTGCTTCCAGACCCCCAGGGTCCCCCTTTCTCCTGGTCAGGCAGCCCCATCCCAGCTGAGGGAGGTCATCTCACGGCGGCCACTGACGGCCCTCCCCTGACACACCTCACAAGCCGTCCCCCACAAAGCCTGCTCATCTCTCACCTCTGCTCCCTCTACATGGAATATCCACCTGCCCTCCGTTGCCTGGAAAACCCAAACCAAATGCAAGGTCAGACCTCGCCCAGTGAAGGCCCTGTGATTGCCGCCCTCTGCTCTCCTCCCCAGGCCACGGCCGAGGGGGATGTCTGCCTTCATGGTTCTGGCTCTGTTGGGTCACACACAGCTGGGTGACATCGGGGCTTGGCTGCCCCACGGCAGCCACCTCCTGCGACCACATTCTTTAGTCCCGTGGTCGGCAAGCTGCGGCTCGGGAGCCACATGCGGCTCTTTGGCCCCTTGAGTGTGGCTCTTCCTAAGTCTTAGGAGTACCCTAATTAAGTTAATAACAATGTACCTACCTATATAGTTTAAGTTTAAAAAATTTGGCTCTCAAAAGAAATTTCAATCGTTGTACTGTTGATATTTGACTCTGTTGACTAATGAGTTTGCCGACCCCTGCTTCAGTCAAACACAACCAAAGCAAAGCTAAGCAGATGGCGGGTGAAGGCGTGTGCTCGGGAGATGGGACCCCCTGCACGGCAGAGCCAAGAGGGAGGCCAGAAGGAGGGCATCCGAGCCATGACAGCAAGTGGACACACTGCCCTCTCTGTATCCCTGTCTTGTCCCACACACCCAATCAGGGAGGATGGCACTTCTTCTCATCTCAAGAGCCCATGCAAAGGCAGACGGAAGGAAGGAACACACACACACACACACACACACACACACACACACACACACACACCAAAGCCCTTACTGTCTTTTCAGATCTCACACACTGAGCTGGCTTTGTTCTCCGCCCACAGACCAGCGGCTGTCTCAGCAGGAAGGAGTTGGAGAAAACGGAGCATTAAGAATCCATCCGGCCACACTGATTAAACAAACAACAAATTGGCAGATTTAAAAAAAAAAGGTAATATCCACTCCTGGCAAATATACAGGAAATTGGGCACTTAGGATACAGGGCTTACAGGAGGGTGCATGGTGTAACCTTTCTGGAGGGCAATTGGCAATGTGTGATAAAAGGCTTGACATACACATTTCTTTTGACTCGGTAATGCCATTTCCAGGATTTCTTAAGCACATAACGAAGGATTTGTGCAAATATTTGGCTCCAAGGATATTCACTGCGGCACTGTTGAAAGAAGTGTGAACCCGGGAGCCACCTAAATTCCAACATCAGAGGTGGATGAGTAATCTGCGGGCCCTGCAGCCTTAAGGCAGCGCTGGAAACAGGTTGTTAACGACATGGAAAGATGACTAAATACTGTGAACAGACGCCTGGTGTCTGAAATGCATGGGATGTAAGATAAACGTATTTTCATGTAATATGCTCCATATACTTTTCTTTAAAAATTTTTTTATCTTAAAATTTGACTTTTAGAAAGAAGAAGGGAGGGAGAGGGCAGAGAGAAAGAAAGAGAGAGAGAAACATTGATATGTTGTTCCACTTACTTATGCATTCACTGGTTAACTCTTGTATTATACCCTTGACTGGGGGCGGGGGGGGTTGAACCTGCAACCTTGGTGTATTGCGACGACGCTCTAACCAACTGAGCTACCCAGCCAGGGCTCAAAATACTGTTCTTCAACTTCCAGACACCTTTTCAGGTGAAGTATCTCTAAACTTAAAGTGATTAAGTCCAACTGTCAATCTGAAAAATCCTATATAATAAAAGCCCAGCAACCAAATGGCAGAATGACCAGAACGACCGGTTTACCAGTCGCTATGACAAGCACTGACCACTAGGGGGCAGACCTCAACGCAGGAGCTGCCCCCTGGTAGTCAGTGAGCTCCCACAGTGGGAGCGCCGCTTGTCTGACTGGGATGAGCGGTGCTCCCACAGCATGCTGATCCCTACAGGCCACGCCCCCCACCAGTGCACAAATCCCGTGCACCGGGCATCTAGTGTACAATAAAAACACTATTTTTGTCTGTGTTTCTAGACTTCTTAGATAAAAGCGTAGTTATTATACTTTTCCAGATGAATAATTAAGCCCAATGCTTTCATTTTAGAGGTCTTACACCTGAAAATACATCAAGCATGTTCTGGGAAAATGTAACAAGCATGTAACATGCTACTCAACCGAGCAAACGCCAGGAGAATGCCTGGCCTGTGTCTATTTTGCAGAAAAGGGCCAGGAAGAGGCAGCACTGTGCCACCATGGTTATTTCTGGGACGTGGACTCTGAGTGCTTTACAATTTTTTTCCCTCTTTTTTAAAATTTATTTTTATTGATTTCAGAGAGGAAGGGAGAGGGAGAGAAAGAGGTGGAAACATCAATGATGAGAGAGAATCATTGATTGGCTGCCTCTTGCAAGCCCCCTAATGGGGATCGAGCCCACAACCCGGGCACGTGCCCTTGGCCCAAATCGAACTCGGGACCCTTCAGTCCGCAGGCCGACGTTCTATCCATTGAGCCAAACCAGCTAGGGCTTTGCTTTCCCCCCCTCTTATTATGTTGGAACACTAAATACAAATTATTTTGTAATCCCAATGAAACTAATTATTTAAATGTAAAACATCCATTCGTAATAATGTAAGATGCTGTTTCCGCCTGCACCTGAAACCTGGAAATCTGGGAAGGCAGGGCTCTGGCGTCCGGGAGTCCCAGCTCCGGGCCCTGGCGCTACTGTAGGAGCCAGGACACCATGGAAACAAGAACAGACAGGGCCCCACCCACCAGGAACATGGCTGGCCAGTGGGAGACACAGACCTTCATCGGATCATGACCGACACGCGGTGGATGAACACAGAGGCTCTGAAGGGTAAGGACTCCAGCTCTCTGAGAACAGACTGTGAGGCAAAGAAACCATCCTAGACTTGGGGGTGAGGACACCCCTTTCTCCTTGAGGAAGTGACAAGAGGTAAGTCACAAAGGATGAGCAGGTGCTCCTGGGGAAGGAGGCGGGGCAAGTCTACACCCGGGTCACCTACCCACGCACCACCCTGGGGTGGGAGAAGTTACGATGCAGCGACCCTGGCAGGACTCGGGGCCTGTAGCCCGTCTCAGTTACCAAGCAATCGCTCTCTTATTCCACATGGGGCAGAAACAGTGAGTCTCTCTGTAGTTCCTTCTCTGGTACCTTGTACTCCCCCCACCCCAAATAAATGGTCAACCACCCAAGTCCCAGAGGTTACTCCCCAGGCTCCTGTTCTGAGTTACGCTGCCACCCGTGTGCTGAACCTGCCCCGTGAAAGACGTTCCAGCAGGAATCCTCTCCCAAGAAGCTCTCACCTGGCGAGGCAGGAGGGCCGGGCGCCCAGAGGTGGGGACCTCTGGGGACCCGCGATCGCAGACTCACCTTCCAGAGCAGCACGGCCAGCAGCAGGAAGATGAGGATCCCCACCAGCAAACTGATGGCGATGATCCACCCCACGACGTAGCCACGGGGCTCCAGGTTGTGCAAGGCCTCGAACACCACCTGGAAGGCAAAGGGAGCGAGAGTGAGAGCGCTTCCCGCCGGAGTGGCCCTGGCAGGATGGAGCCCAGCCTGGACTTGGAGTCAACTAGAGCAGAAACCACCCCTTCCCACCTGAAGGCCAATGGAAGAAAAGCTGCCTACAAAACGTGCAGGCGCTCTGGGAACAGACATGAGGCTTCTTTGCGACGCATGCTCACTAGCTGTGTGACCTTGGGCAAAGCCCTTGACCTCTCTGAGCCTCGTTTTTCTCATCTGCAAAACAGGGATAGAACAGCACCTCCCAGAGAATCCAAGGGTAATGCAGACAGACCCCTAGCACAGCATCTGGCAGAGCTCAGCCAGGACGCGTGTGTGTGTGGGGGTGGTGGTGTGTGTGCTCCTATTAGCATCGTCATGGCCGGCAGGGACATTCTTTTTGAGGTCAGGCATGGTTGGCTACTTTTTAATGTTTAAAAACGATTTATTGACATCTAATATAGAGAAAGGTTTACCTAACCAAGTGCACAGCTCACGGAGTTTCCACGCACTCAATGCTAAGTGCATCTGCGGAACCCGTACCGAGATCAAGTTCTGAATGTGACCAGCACCCCCATGAGCCCCTTCACCCTCCTTTCCAGTCTCATCTCCCACCGAGGGGAACACCAGCCTGGCTTCCACCAGCCTGGATTAGCTCCCCCTGCTTTTGTCCTCGATGTACCTGGAATTCAACATCATGTTTGGGAGTCTGAGCCGGGTTGTGGCCCGTTTGTTCTCATTGCTGGACGGCATCTCACCGTGTGAAGATGCTGTTGGTTTATCCAGCCACCCACGTAGGGGCTCTGACCAAGGATGATTGAAGGAGGGGTGCCTGGAGTGGGAGGTGGCGGGATGGCAATGGGCTCTAACATTTGTCATCTAAGCCCACTGTTTTCTATCTGGTTCTGATGAGAGAGTCCTGTCCCAAAGTCAGAGTCATGCCTTTGGGTTCCTGCCCCTAAGAAGCTGTGCGCCGAATCCCCTCCCACATTTAGACTCTCTCGTGGTGTCCTGTCCAGATGAACTATGAGACACTATTGGCCAAGAAGCGTGACTTGAGGCCACCAGGACACGACTCTGTGTCCGCCTCTGTGGACTGGGGTCTGAAAGGGACTTGACATCGTTTATGTAAGATCCCGGCGTGCGGTCTCGGAATAAAAGCTGCTGGAGCTTCTTGTTGACCATGAAGTGCCGAGACCGGCTGTGAGCTCCCAGGGGGTCAGCTGCGAGGAGCAGCCCTTTGGGTGACCCTGTTGGCTTCTCAGGGACATTGCATCCCGGCGAAGCCGCCCGGGAGGTCTGGTTCCGTGGAGACAGACACAGGGAGAGTTTCCGCTACAGTTTAGTCTGGCAAGTTCCGCAAGAATGCGCCGTCACTTCCCCGGAATGCGTGCTTAATCTTTTATTATTTTTAGTGATGCCGGTCAGCTTCTTGGATGTGCGCGAGATGCTTTGGCAGGGCCGGTTCCCGCCCATGGCGGCTCGGATAAACCCCTCTGTGGGTGGAGATCCCAGCATCCTGCGGTTCTAGGAAGTCCCATCTTAGATGGAAACCCAAAGGGAGGAAGAGCAGCCTGGGCTCCAGGGACAGACAAGACAAGCAGGTCTCACCTCCACCACCGACGCATCCTGTCTCTAGACATCTTTTCTCTCTGACCCCTCGTCCCACCCCCAGTGGCTGCCCCAGGTCAGGTCTGTTCTCTCCCCAGCACCGTTTCAGGAGCCGGGGAGAGGCCTCACAGCTGCTGTCTTTGTAAAACATAGGACTCATCGTGTTGCTTCTCAGCTTACAAGATCGACGGCTTCCCTTTATACTGAATCTGTATCACAGCACAGGGTACAAGCTGGTCCCCTCCCCAGATGTTCGTGTATTCATGACATGCTGGCCAATGAGCATCATCTCCTCTGTGAGACCTGGCTTTTTATCCCTCTGAATGCCTTTCTGTTCCCCGTGTGACAAACTCCAATACTGCTCACCTTACAAACGTTCCTATCTTTTGTTGTTGTTGCTAATCCTCACCCGAGGATATTTTTTTCCATTGCTTTTTAGAGACGTGGAAGGGAGGGGGAGAGACAGAGAGAGAGAAACATTGATGTGAGAGAGACACACTGATTGGCTGCCTCCTGCACGGGGATCAAGCCTGCAACTGGGGATGTGCCCTTGACTGGAATCGAACCCACAGCCCTTCAGTCCTCGGGACAACACTCTATCCAGATCGGTAGAGCTGTTCCTACCCTTTGATCCATGAGTTCCGCACTTAAACATTTACCCCAAACAGGAAAAGTTTTCTATTCAAAGAGGGTCGCTGCAGAATTATTTAAATTGGTGCAGAAGTAGAAATATTCTAAACGTCCAACCACAGGGCAACCGGTCAGTCAGTCATGATCCCTCATGAAGTGGAATCCCACAGAGCTACTGAAAATGGCGATGATAAATCTGGCTGTCACAGTATGATTCTCAAAAACGTAAAACATGACTCTCATATAGAAATATAGCGAATACATGTTAAAGACGCATTTAATTCGTTACTGTGGGAATCAGCAGGCTGGGAAAGGCAGTTCGAAGAAGGCTCTGACTACAGGGTGGGGCAAAAGTCGGTTTACATTTGTGAGCACCAGATGTGCAGAATTTATTTTTTAAAAATGTATTTTTATTGATTTCAGTAAGGAATGGGGGGGGGGAGAGATAGAAACATCCATGATGAGAGATAATCAGCGACTGGCTGCCTCCTACACGTTCCTGACTGGGGATTGAGCCTGCAACCCAGGCATGTGCCCTGACCAGGAATCAAACTGTGACCTCCTGGTTGATAGGCTGATGCTCAACCACTGAGCCATGCCGCCTGGGCCAGCATTTATTCTCGAATTATTACTTATTAATTACTGTATTATTTTCCATAAGCACAACTGTAAATGTGTAGTCACGGAAAAACAAACAAACAAAAGAATTCTGAAACTAGATACAAAACTCGGTAATTCCCGAGAGGTATATATTATAGCTTATATAACCTTTTGTATTATATTTTCAGCCAGACAGAAATCACTTTCATCTTTTCTGGCGCAAGTCGTTTATCAGTTATCCTCTTCTATGGGTTAACAAGGAACTTCACAGAAGCTGGGTCCTAGAAGTCCAAGCAGGCCCATGGCACCAGAGCTGTTCTCCAATTTCAACGTGTGCAAGACCACAGGGAACCCGGTCACAGGGCGGGTTCTGAACAGCCAGGCAGGCGGGGGCCTGGGACTGTCATGTCCAATGAGCCCCAGGCAGGCCAGGGCTGCTGGGCCAGGGCCACACTTCAGGAGAAAGGGACAGAGTTTGCTCCAAGATGCCTGGTAGGACAACTTTTTGACTGATACCAAGTTTTAAGTTCTTTGAAAATGTGACAGTAACATGGGGGAAATAATAAATGTTCTAATGGTGAGTGAGGAAAATCAGGATATCAATTTAATATATAGAAGACTTCAGCTTTGCAAAAAAAACCCCAAAACACACAGTAGAAACATTTAAAAGTAAAAGGTGGTTTCTGAGATGATGGTTGCTTTTTTCGTTTCTATTTCTTACTATTAAACATGTTTCTCACTGAGCATTTATAGCCAAGTTAAACAAAATTAACAAGAGGCTCTGCCCCAGCGCCCCCTCTTCCAAGAAGCCTGCCCACTCCTCTCTTCAGCAGAATTAATCATTCTCAGAGCTTCTGGAAACATGGCAATTTCCAACGCTTTTAGCAGAGGAAGCCCTACTGGAGCATCTCAATGTATAAAACAGAAGAATGTGGATTCTCTGGCTATAAAGATAGGCAGCCAGAGCCCTGCCTGCTCAGCCCCCTCCCAAGCTTATCCCCTCCAACCCCACTTCCACCCCAGCCCCAGTCACCCCTGAACCAACTCAAGGGAACCCCCGGCTCCACAAAGCTTAGTTGTAAAACCACAGTGAGCGCTCCATAGTCCCAGTTCTAAGTCCTTCTCACTGAAAGGTAATGATGTATCTTCCTGTCTACAGACTCCAGCAAACTGTGAGTTCTTCGAGAACAGGGGTCAAATGCATGCTCTCCTGTCACCTACACCACGGCAGGCATGCGTGCTGTGACTCATGAATGCACAAATTAATGAAGCCAGCGTTGTCTACCAGAACGTCAGAGGAAGCATGGATGTGACTCAGTCTGCAAGCAAAGAGAAGATGGGGCTGGCAGCTGGAGTCTCTGTGCTTCTGGCAGCTGGAGTCTCTGTGCTTCTCCTCGCTCTACCTCAAAGATTCATCTGCAAATGTTATTTCTTTGGGAGCCCACCCACCGACTCATCTGTTGGTCCATCCATCCACCCACCTGCCCGTTCATCCATCTGACAAACGTACATGGAGCACCTACTATTGCCAAGACTGTGGGGACTCATTGATGAGTAAAACAGGCAGTCTTTGCTCTCATGGAGCTTTCTGCTTATAGACAAGACTGGCCAGATAGACACATGCACGCAAAACTGTAACCCTGGAAAGTGGCCCCAGGGAGAGGTTCATGGTTATAAAAGCCTGAGCTAGGCATGGCCGTCAGAGAGCGTTCCGTGCTGAACGGCTTGAGTTGAGAGTTAGAGGATAAGCAGATGTGAGGTTGGAGCAAACAGGTTGAACCAGAAGCCAGAGGAAGGAAGTTGTTCAAGATGAGTCTGGAGAGCTAGGCAAGGCTGCAGCCACAGTAAGAATTATGTGCTCCGTCTTAAGAAAATGGGAGGCTGTGGAGGGTTTTCAGCAGGGGAGTGACATGGTTACAGAGAGGCCTCTAGCTGCAAAACGGATGTAGAGTAGAAGGAGAACTTTATGTGGGGGCTCAAGGAACAAGCAGCCCTAGTAAGAGGGTTGCAGGGCGAGCGGTTTCCCCAAGGGAGAGCTATGCATCTGGTATAAAAAGAGAAAAGAGAGTGAGGATGAAGGGGGCGGGGTCCTGATGGTCTGAGAGGGTGGTAGGAGGCAGACAAGAGGTTCTGACCAGCGAAGG